TCAATACAGAAGTTTGCACAGTGAATGTTATATGAAAAGCTACCTGTTAGTTTTTGCACCCTACCCTACATATTTGATATCACTTCCATATTAATTTTGCAGCCAGAAGAATCAGTGTATCCAGTTTTTCTCAACATGATACTTCAGTATGTTGTATTTCAAATTCCATTACTCACAGTCTCATCATTTTCTTTAAGGGAATAATGGACTGATATCTAATTCTGGGTTGAGGGAAAGTGTTATATACTTGTAAGTATACAAGCAGGCTGATCCTGCCTCTTTTTCCTCACATCTCTCATGTCCATTTACTCTTCCATTTTCAGTGTTGGGTCCAACATTTAGTTGTCTTTAAGAAACATACTACTATTTAACTTGAAAGAGAAAATTTACATATATTTTCATATTATTTCTGAACTTTTTGGATGCTCTATTTAAAATGGAAACAATATTGACTTTGAAGCGGTAGCTCTTGTGCTGGTCTTTGGATCTTCCATATATTTAACAGTCTATCATTATGCAGTGGGACAAATGTTGAGTTCTGCTTAGTACTCCAGATAAAGAAATGAATGGATAAAAGAAACCCAGGGGAAAGAATGAGTAGATGTCACTGTATCTTCTGCTCAAACAACACACATAAGGTAAATGCTTGTTCTTCAGGATACACTCTTCTTATTTTACTATAATTTTTGTTTCAAAATATAACCTTAAATAAAAATATTCTTTATTGTTCTACATTTGAAGGGTTTGCCCTTACATGAAATTGTGTATTTTCATGTCCTCCTACAAGAAAGTCTCTTTCAAGTCAGGCTTGACTCCTGGTAATTTCACGAATATATCTATGTAGGGTTTTTGGCAATAACCGAAGCCTTATAAAATATACTTTCAGTGACATTAATTTTTCTCTGTCTTGAAGAAACCTACAAACTATAGGTTTCAGTATTTCATCTGTAAATGTATATATTAGTATGTTATGTTTATCCTACCTCACACACTTCAGGCTGCTTCCCTTGTTCAGACAGTAATGGGGAAAAAAAAAATTGGTTTCCAAATGTATGGTCATGTCCTTGTAATACAAAAGCTATTCTACTTTAGTAATCTAATCTTCTAATTAAGGTTTCAGTGTAATGTATTGAGAATGCTTCACTCATTCATATTTTATGTTGGGCCCTTCCTCTCTTTCCTATTAAAAGAAAAGCATGTTATTCATTAGGTATTTGAGCCATGTTTCATTTCTATTATTACTTCCTCATCTATGGTATGAATGGTAATATCTTTGAATTAGCCCCTGATTGTATTTTTTATTACGTATTAATTAAAACAACAAAAAATGCAAAAACAAAGAAAAGGAATACATATACACAGATGAAATAAACTTTACACTAGAGAGAAATTTGAAATGAAAATATGATTATGAAAATATTTCTGAGTTAAAAAAAAAAAGAAAAAATATAGGAAAAAGCATTCTAGTAGCTCCTCTCTTCCCCCCCCTGCCATTTTTCCCAGCTGCTAATAGCTATTTAAATATTTTTATAGTATGCTTTGGACATTTGTGATTATTGCTCATTTCTATTTGGATCATTTTAATTATTTTTTAAACAGTTTCTCTTTTTCTTCAGAAACCATATTATAAGTATCTTAGCTTGCCTTACTGGGTAATACATTTTATATGAGGAAACCATTCCTGCTTGAATTCGGTTAGAATATCTCCTCCTTCATGACTTCATGGACATGTTCATGTAGCTTTCTTTGGCAACCATACTAGTATAGTTTGCCATTGCAATGTTTCTGACTTCTTAATCTAGACTACAGGTCTGGGATTCCAAGTAATAACCAGATCCAACCCTGCTTAGCTTTCTGAGATCAGCCAATGCTGGCTAGGTGCAGCCACCTACCTGGTAAGTGCTGCCACCTAGCAGGGCCATCTATGGTATGTGTTGATGAGGTTTATATATGACTAATTCTAAGAAATCTTATTTATCATAATTGTTTATTATAATCAATTGTAGGACACATTATCTCACTTCAAAAGAAATTAGAGTGACTTATAACCCCAATACAATGGGCTTTAATAATAAATATATAGTAATATATAAATAAAGAAAATAGGTTAAATTAGCAAAAACAATTTTTGAAATTAAGGATAAAAGGAAAGAGCCAAAAAATTTAAAACAAAATCACTAAAAGCCCTCTAAAAGCCAGACCATAGCTTCATATATAAAATCTAAAACTAATATTACTTGGGCTAGATGGCAAATGATCTACAAAGTTGGAACCACAAGTAAAACAACCTTACTCCTTATGAAGACCTCCATAAGTTAGTCAGTAAAAGAATTTGGGGCAAAACATAATGCTGAATGAAATAATTGAGTAGAAATATATGTGGGAGAAATTATCATTGCCATCTTTAATTATAGATTTAAATTGGACTAGAAACTAAAATGGTAACTACTACAGATCAAATAACAGTGTGGTGATGTTTCAGGTCACTCTTCTGCCTGGCAGAAGCACTTTCAACAAACAGGATTTTTAGAATATTTTAACATAAGGTTCCTCTTAAGTAATTTAGTCTGGAAAGGGCAATTGACTGTAGTTGGCATTTACCTGCCACAGGTGATAAAAATACACTTCATTCAATTGACACCATCTAAGTATCCAGAAGCAATGGAGTGTTCTCAGACTGTCATCCTAAGACTATGAATGAATGTAACTTGCCCTTGCCCTATATGTCAACTGTCCAGGAACATGAACTTCTGTCCTATTGTGTTTATTTTTCCACATCCCAACTTCCACATCACTCTCAGATATCAGTTCAAAGATCCAACTGCTTCCCCCAGCTCTGAACAAAAGAGAGACTAAAGTATAATAGTTTTATTGGGAAAAAGACCCCTTGAACATACATCTGAATAAATATGTGTAGAATCCAGTTGTTCAAGTATAATTAAAATGGATGATTCAGATATTTTATTTAAATTCAAATATAACTTTAAAAATCCAAAAATATTATATAAATAAATAATGCTCCTTTGCATCTTAGCATATAATATCTGATGCTACTTTATGATGGAATGCTTAGATCTTTTTTGTCCTCCCCAGGTAATTTTGTCAAACAAAATG